AGAGCGGTTTAGTAACCGGGGGCTGGGGGGTAGGTGCTGATGCAGCAGGAGCCGGAGGTCTGTTAAGAATGCCCGGTGCTGTAACAGGCTGTGCTTGTGTCATTGGAGGCATCCCTGGACGAGGACCAACAGGCGGTGGCATACCTACAAACCACAAAGAACCGGTAACAAATCAGGCTGAAGGAAGTAAGAATACTCCTTTAGAGGATTCTGTTCACAGCGTTCCTTAGAACAGTCTTCCTCAAGGAAGATGTATTTTTAAGGCAATAGTAAAATAAAACATGACAAAGGGTAAGGCCAGCAGTCACAAATAAATGTCCGTGTCCATGCATAGGCAGTAACCTCAAACACTTCAGAGCAATATTGAATTGTGTTTTCTACTAGAGCTTCAATGATGAAGTTTATGCTCTCAATAAATGAATGCAATTAATGCAGTAACTGTTTCCAACACACTGCGCCTAAGCTGCCAAGCGTGTGGATAAGACTGTTACAAAATCCAAAAGATGCAGCCATTATGAACGGTATCAGAACTTTGACTGCAACACAGATCAGCTTTGCTGTGGGTCTTTAGCACAGTGGAACAGTGACACACGGCTACTTTTTGTAGCCTATCATCACAATACATGCACTTCGTAGGTGCGGGGCTCTAGGAGATGTTCAGAGACGGGAAGTTCACAGCTCACATGGGTTCCATCATATTACTGTGCAGCAGAACAACGCTGTAACTGTCCTAGTGGCTTGCCTCCTCCTCCACTGAGAAATGCGGGCAAACCAGCAAATCTCAAGCCATCACAGCATAGCTGCTGGTCAGGTGGAACACCCACAGAACTCAAGGCTGCTTAAGAGCTGCACAAGCTCAAGAAACATCTCTTCTAGCTATGGTAAGAGATCAAAGTTCCAGTTAGTTTCTTCACACACCAGGTTCATTACTTACGTATTTCTCATTTCCCATATCACTATCAATCATTATGATTTTCCAGCTGCAGCCACAGACATTAAAAAAAGGGATGAAGAGAGACTAGGTAACACGAAAGCCAGAGAAAGTACAATAGGAAGAGAAAACTGTATTCTGTTTTTTACCTTCACAATGCTACAGAACACAAATAATTATTTATAATCAAAAGCCATAAATCAACCCCTTCACCTGTGCACAAGAGTGTCTTCTGTGGCCACCAATCCACACTAAGGTCGTGGCATAAGTCTGTATATTCTTTATATAAATCCTAAATCTCAGTGGAAATAAATAAATACAATTTAGCTCTCACCATAGCATGAGTTCGACAACCCTGACCTACCTGGTGGCATACCAGGCATAAGAGGTGGTATTCCTGGCCCAGGAGGCATCATTCCACCCATCGGCATCATCCTATTAAACAGAAAATGAGCACAGGTATGAACACCCACGATAAACTCTTAAGACAATTGGCACATACCTGTATTAGATAAGAAGTTATGGTAAATAATTTCAAGAAGCTCTCAACACAGGCAATTCAAAAATCAGCTGACTCCACAGTTAGAAATGTTTTTCCAGAAGGGAAAAGAAAAAAACCAAACCAAGAAAACCCCAAACACTTTTTATTTGAACTTTAATTCCTCACGCTTTCACTTCCACTACTTCAGATTTCCAGAACTGGTGTCTCTCTTGAAATCTATTTCAGGCTACTAGTTTCAGCAGAGTGTTCCAAGAACCCGATCTTAGTACACTCAGAAAATTTGAAAGTAGGAGAACAGCTAACACCAATCACACTAAAATCGCTGTACATCTGCTATTACTCCTTTCTGACACCACAAGTCTATTTGTGGTTATAGCACCCTCATACTATTTTAACGTATTCTCCTTCCTCTAGTGAATTGCAGACAACCCAAATCTGTAAAACTATCCACAAAATACTGACAAAAAGCAGAGCAGAGACCACAGGATAAGAAAGCTTCTGGAGTTTCAATTACACTAAATATTCCCTATGCTAAGGATAGAAAAGTGGGATTTTAATTATTTTTTTTTTAAATGGGGAGTCCTTATTATGGCATATTTTTCCTTCATATTAAGAACAGGTTTGGGTTGGGTTTTTTTCCCTTGCTACCAATACCTGGAGAAAAAAACTGGTCTGTATTTACTAACAGAAAGGTGGCATCTAAATGACTCTTTTTATCCTTTTCTACTAAACCACACTACAAATTAATACGTGTTCCCCATCTAAACTATACATACAACCCTTAATATAACCAAATTCCTCCTGCACAGGTTGCAACTCCATAAAAAATAAGCTGTCTACAACATTAAGTGCTTTTAAACTGGAAAGCTATAGATGAATATATATAATTCCTTTACAGGGAACAAACCAAGTGTAGCTTAAGTTTGCTTAAATTTTTCCAGACACCCAAAGCTGAATTAAGGAAAGATAATAAAGGAAGGCTTATTACTTTAGTCTTTAGTTAGCAAGATAAGCAGATACAGAGCAGCCAAGGGCACACCAAAACCCCACTAAGAAGCAGTTTCTATTTGCATGATAAAGTCAAGAAACCTTCACCATTGCTGTTTCAAAATCAAAACAAATCATCATGAACAGGGGAGCATTCATTCTGCAAAGCAAACTGCTACCCAGTCTTATTTTTATTCTCAACTTGTCTACCACTGCTACAAAAGGAACAACCAATGCAGAAGCAGTAATGACTGGGAACATAGTACCATCGTCCCTTTCTTGGATTAATGGTTGGAGAAGACAAAGTCAGTCTTGCCACCCATTTTGACAACTATCTGCTAGACCCCCAAAAAAGTGCTGGATGCTAACTGCCTGCTGCCACAAGAAAGATGACTGAGAAACTGCAGGGATAGTGCTAGAACTAGTGTCACACTAAAACCAAACTTGCTTCCTAGGTCCTAATTCTTCTTTGCTCGTTTTTAAACAAAAAAGCCTCAGGTTAAGTAAGCAAAATTTTAGATTAAACTAGGTAAAAACACAATGTAACACCACCCCCCTCCCCTAAAATTTCACCAAAATGGAAGTGCAGTGAATTTTTGGCAAATTATTTTGTGTCTTTTACTAGATGACATTACATTTATCTGAAGTCAACAAAGAGTTTAAGGAGGACTAAGCACCAGCAAGCCTGATAAAATTCTGTTCAGTTTCCACCCAGAACCTATAGTCATGATGAACATCCACAAGATATTTGACTATGACAGGATTTTTAAATTCCAAGACTGTTAAAACAACATTTATGTCTCAGAAGAGAACAACCTTTCACCTCTGTGAACTTTAAAACTTAGAAGCAAAGTTTTATGCAGTATGTCCTACAGTGTAAAAGATCAAGCACACGGAGCTGTACTCTGGTTCAAGAGAGGTTTTAAGCCCCTAAGGGTCTATTTCATTAGTATTTTGTAGAATGCATTTCTCATAACATATAGTTTTGTAATATTCATTTAGATAAAGCATAAAAACTTCAGATGTTATACAATAACAAAACCTAACTAGACATTTTCCCCAAATTCTTAGGCAATATTCAGAGGTTTTCAGCAAGACAATTTCAAGCTTATAAAAAACATGACATAAAATGGCATAACGAATGTACCTAGAATTACATTAATGAGATGCTTACATGTTTCCACCACAAAATGACTGCATGTATTTTCTCTGTTGATGTAATCTGTGAAAATTTATGACAAAATCAAAAATCTAACTGTGATTTTCCAAACACATTGTGATAGGGTATGGTGTCAACCCCAAACAAACATAAAAACCAACATCTTACTTTTGCCCAAAATACAAGAAAAGTTTAAACTATCCAGTATTTTTTTCCTGTTAGATTGATGACTGATAACCAGATGCACAACGTATGTGCAATACACAACACTGGTTCACAGAAGGCTCTAAACCAACACAATAAAACTTTAAATTATTACACTACTACTCAATAAAGTTAGGAGAAAGGCAACATACTTTATACACAAACTGACAGTTTGGCCATATTCTTAATGTTGGTTTACAGCCATCCAGTTCTTTGGCTAGTCTTAATATTAAGGTTACAGAGTTCACAGGTTCCTACGTACATTCTTCTAATTAGCTTTACTTTTTCTGTGACAGTTTAAAATGCACACTATGAACATGTAATATTAAGTCTTTCTTGCTACTCACCCAGGTGGCATTCCAGGCATAACTGGAGGCATTCCAGGCATCATAGGTGGAACACCTGCCATTAATGGTGGTATACCTTAAAAGAAAAATAAATTTTAAACAACTCTGACAACATACAGCCACTAACAAAACTCATCTAATAAATTCAGACTGGGTAAATGCTTTACAGGAAGCTCTAAAAGATTGTTTTTTGAAGTAACACTGCTTACAAAGAATGCAATATAAAAGATCATCTGCAAAACTGACTTAGATTCATTGTTCTACATCTGCAAGACTGTGTAAATTTTCTTAGTAGTCTCCAAAGAACATGCCTTATTATTACAGAAAATATGAAAAGAGACCAGTTTTTGCTCACTGTCATTGATGAAAATTCTTTCCTCAATATGTTTGTGGCCTGTGTACAAGCTGCCTGTTCTGTGTTAGCAGTCTCTAGATACAAGGCAGCCTTTCTGCCCCGTTTCCAAAATCTTGCTACAAAATATCACAAACTAGTATCACTGGAAGACTAATATTCAAAGTACTAATATGTCTTACTACCATATTAACATTCTTTCAATCTAGATGCAAGCATTAGGTATCTTAATCTACTTCACAAAGGAAGATGCGTGCACTCACACAGAATGGAGGAAGGAAAAAAAAGGTGAAGAAACTGCTTATGTGCACCTCACAAGACTATTTTGTGACCTCTAACACCCGGTGTTAGAAAGGGCAGATTATTATTCCAGCATACAAGCAGCAGTTTGTATTTCTACTCAGCTTTTCGGTAACTAGCTTAAAACCCCATCTTACCTGGAGGCATCCCTGGTGCACCTGGCACAGGAGGCAAACCTGGTTGCGCCATCGGGGGAATGTACCCCTGCTGTGGCTGAACTTGCTGGGGTTGAAATGAAGTTGAAGCCGCAGATTCATCATCTTCATACTCATCAGAATCATCCTGTTGTTTCTTTTTCTGGCTCTCTGCTAAAGTGTACAATGTATATGGTCAGATTGAAGGCAAATTATATTCTATGAAATTCATTTTATCTGGGGTACTCTAGCTGGAATGAAAATAGTAAAATTTAAATCTTATCAGCGTGTTCAAAAATTCATAGAATTACAAAGAAAAACTATGTGAGCCTACCTATACGTACAAATAATACAGGGAAGTAAAGTGACGCACACTGTAATGACCCTCAACATAAATGAGGCTCTTCCTTCATGTCAGTCTCATGCTGTCCAGAATAAACCAAAGCAGCTCAAACCAATGTATACTTAAACAGCAAAGAAATCTAAGTATTTGGGCATCATCAGGCTTGTATCACCCCTGGCCTTTCTTCCCCTTACCCTCAAAAATAAAATCACCATCCCCATATTCATTATGTAATTGTTATAGCTGCACTGGCGTGCAGCTATTTCTGAACAGGAAAAGAAAAATCTCTCTCATCCTTCTACATGACTGGCAAATGTCTAGAGCTGCAGTTAGAGAATGCATTAAACTCAACCCTTGCTCTTCTGAGAGGCGAGACCTGTATCACACAGCTCAGTATCAGTAAGAAACAGATCAGGGAAATAACAGATAACTAGCTAGATTATACTTTACCCTGAGTTTTTTGTTCAAGTAACCTCCTCCGTTCCTCCATATCTTTTTCTGGAATGCCCTCCATGCCATAGATTTCCAGTTCAATGTCTGTTCTTCCAGGAATAGCATTTGGAACAGCATCTATTGTTTCTTTATGTACCTAAAGAAAAAAGAAAATCCTCTTGACCACAATTCAGGTTAGATTCTACATGTTCTTCAGCCAGTTTCAAGATACAAAAGGAACATCCTTAACGGGAAGAATCTCTCTGGCCAAGCATTTTCTTGATATGTGCCTCCTAATCACTGTTAGCTACTATTAGCTTCTAAAACCAGTTTATATAAACTTGTCTTCTGAACACCAAGACAATACAATTCCTTCACTCCTCCCACACCCCAAAAATGATGGCAGAGATCTCTACTGCATATTCTCCATATGACCGCTGACACAGCAGGTTCTGGAAAAAGACCATTGTTGTTGTCTTCTCATCAGTTTTTAAGACTCCGGAAGCCCCCAAACCCCTACCTTTTAAAGTTCACTATTAATTCCAATTTTAGAAGCTTATGTAAGTCTAAAACTTCTTACCTGCATGCAATGTATAGCTAAACCAGGTCCTGTATACAGTTTCTTATGACATATATGGCATTTAAAGTGCTTTGCTTTTTGATGCTGTATAAGGATTTTTTCATCATCAAAATCCCTGTTACAATACCTATTGAAAACTGTTAAGGAAACATTTAATCCTGAAAGTGACGTTCTATATTAACATTAAGCTAATTAGCATCATTGTGATTTCTCCTCAAGTGAAAAAAAAAAAAAAAAACCCAAAGAAAAGCATAGGAAGCATCTCTGAGCATTCAAAGCATGACAAATATTTCATGGATGTCTGAAACTAAACCTCCCCCTCATACCATCCATCATTTCCCTCTTCAGATAGGTACGAAACTGGCAAGATGTGTGCGCGCAATCAGAATCACCATTTGATTCCATATTCTTTGACATATGCCTTTCAAGTCCTAGTTACTTCTAAGTGGACTCATTCCTTCTTTGCATACTTGTAGATATTAAAATAAGGTTGCTAAAGCATTAAAGGAGAAATAGACTTGAAACCCACGAAAGGGAAGTGATGCTAAATCTTAGAAGTGCCTATTTAATAACACGGATCGGTAGCTAACATTTATAAAAGAAAACAAAGGTTTTAGTTAAAAATTCCTTTCCTTTTTCAGTCATGCAGCTATCAATTCTTATGACACCACATAATTTGCTGCAGTCATTAAAGAATTCTCTGTTTCTAAACAGAAACATTTCAAGCAAAGATCTTTCTGGACTTCTATGTGACAGAAGAGGCAAACTGCAATTTCCTTTCTGCAGGTCAGCATTAGTACTGAGGCAAACACTCCAAACATATCTTCCTAAGTGAAACAAATACACATTTGTTATTTATTAGCTGTTCCTTGTTAACACAATGTGTCCCTCACTTCCACCAAAAATTGAAATATATTAATACCTAAAATAGAAGCACAGATGCCTTCCAACATAAAACTGTGAAAGATCTCAGAGCAGCTTATAAATTCCTTTGTTTAACAATTCTAGATTGGGCAGAAACATTTTAGAGGAAAGGTAAATCTGCAATCATCACCCAACAAAATGCAAATTGTAAAGGAGTGATCGAAGAAAAATCCACCGGTATTTCTGGATGCTGAGAAACTGTACATGATTTTGATGCAGCAATTACAAATTTGAAAGCCGCCCCCCCTCAAAAAAAAAAGTTTTCAAAAGGTCTCTTTTAACCACATCTGCCCCACTTCTTGAATAACTGTATTTATCAGAGGCAGGGTTTTCTTCCGTTAACATCCTACCCCCCGGGGGATAAAGACCGTTCTGC